GCTGGTGGGGGCCACCCCCCTGTCGCAAAAACCCCTAAAAAAAAAAAAAAAAAAAACTAAAATAAATGATTAAATACAATCAAATAAATAATTCTTTTTTTAAAAAAGTATTGAGTGTGTGCAGATCCACATGGCCATCTTACCTGTCAGATGGAGAGCCCAGGGGAGACGCATGTAAAACAAAGCCAAGGGACCAGCAGTTAGTGTAATGGCTATGTCGCTGGACTCCCATGTTGTCGACCACAGTTCGAGTCCTGGACCTGGTGGCTTAAACTCACACTGGGCGCATGTGCGTGCGTGTGCAAGATCCCGAGAGGACAATGGAAGAGAAGGGATTGTGGCGTGGCCATCCCCCCTGGGGGGTGATTCCTCACTTTTTGTCTCTCTCTGTCTTTCTGGCGAGTTCATGAGTCCTGTAGCAAAAACCTCTCCAAAAAAATATTATTCTTGTGTTGTAAAATTCAGGAGTGCTTGAGGCTGGCAGGTGGCTTGGTGATTAAGGCTCTGGATTCCCACATGACTGACCACAGTTTGAGTCCCAGACCTAGCAGTTTGTTTTCTCACTCTCCTTCTCTCTCTCTCTCTCTCTGGTCAAATTAAAAAATAATAATAATAACTAAATAAAAATAAATAAATAATTCTTAAAAAAAACAGAAAACTCAACAGTGTTGTGAGCTGGACAGCATGGCCAGGGTGCCAGTGAGGGCAGCAGGACGAGGAAGCCATGGGGGGCCTGGAGGCCACTACAAGTATATGTGAGGATGCGTGCGGGCCAGGAGCAGGTGGCCGGAGATGCACTTTTGGGAGCAGAAGCAGAGTGTGACTGCAGGAGGGCACATGCATGGAGCACTGAGAAAGCTAAACACGAATAGAGTGGGAAAGGGAGAAGAAAATTGTATTCGCCTAACTTCCCTTAAAAGGGGAACGCTGTCTTTGCCGGGAGCAATATTTTGATAAGTGCTTCAGCCTGAACCTGAGATCCCAGTGGAGGCCTGGGTGTGGGTAGAACAGCTCTGCTTGAGACATGAAGGAATTTTAGAATTTCGTATGTTATAACAGAGAGAAAAGGAGAAAAAAGGAGAAAACGAAATCTGTTTTGTGCTGTTTAGTGTGAATCTTTTTCTCCACAGCCCCTTAAATTTTCAGAAAGTTGCTCATGTCATGACATGTTTGGGGTCAAAAGAAAAAAGAAATGCTTGGGGTTAAGTGGGGCATGTACACTGGATATTCCTGTGAGTGTATCTGTGAGTGTGAGAAGGACGGAGGGGCCGGCTTCAGATTCAAAGCCCAGAGATGCAGGGAGGAGACAGAGGAGCATGGAGAGGAGAGACAGCGCTATGGAATGGGCATTGGGCAAGTTTAGCCAAACCTCAGCGGAGCAGGGCCCCAGCTGACTTCTGGGTTCTGAGATCTGCCAGTGTTATTTAGTTACTCTCAATTCTGTAGGCTATAACCAGATTGAGTAACAACAACAGTAACAACCCTGAGGGTCGGAGACCCTCCAGGTACCTGCACTAGGTGGGCTGTCATGCTGAAGTCCAGCTGGGCTCGTAGGCCGTTTCAGATGCTGCTGTCTTACCTAAGTCCCCATTTGAAGGATGGGGCAACACCAGCACTTTAACAGCTCTTGGTTCTGGGTAGACCTGACTGGCAGGCATCAGTGCTTTCTCCATCACAAATCTTCAATTGAGGCAGCCCAGGGCCACAAATGGCTGGTGGGATTGGTAATCTATAGGGTCACCTCACGACGTATTTTTTAATAAAAAAATGAGTCATGACTTTTTTTTTTTTCCCTTATTTTGGAGAGGTTTTTGCTATAAGGATGACTTTTCTAATGATCCAATAGAAAGGCTCCTTAGAGATCATTGAGTCTTGGGCTGGCAGGTGGCGTGGTGGTTAAGGGGGCCGGACCCCCACATGCCCACCTCTGGTTTGGG